GAGGAAGCGGGAAGGAGGGGACGGCCACCACCAAAAGAGCCAAGCGCTGCCTTCAGCTGGGGCTTCTCCTCCCCTCGGCTCTCTCCTTCCTTCTCGCTTTGCCTCCCCTGTGTGCGCTGGGCAGATGGAGGAGGAAAGTGGAAAGCCCCTTCCCTGTGATGAACCCATACCAGGCTACACTCAGCCTCAGCCCTGGACCAGCGGCAGAAATTTGGGCAGCATCTTCCCATGGGCAGCATCACCCTTCCCCTTCCCCTCGGGAAGCCACCGCCTCCCGTCCCGTCCCGTGGATGCCATCGGGGTGACAGCCTGCACTCAGCACAGCAAAATTGCTCCGATGGAGGTGAACTGACAGCCGAGGTTACAAATTAGAAAATTTTAAGCAGCGGCAGCTGTCTCCTTGGCTGCCCCCCTCCATGTTCCCCCCGCCACCACTCCGGTCCCCCCCCTTCCCCAGCAGTAATTACGGGGTGATTGAAGCTTCGCCGGGCTGCAGTGCTGACACCTCTGTCTTTTTCCTGTAAACACGGGGAGATGAAAATAGACACTTGGAGACGCGGCGAGTGTCACTTTGAAGGTGTCTCTTGTCTCCTCCGTGGCGAGGCTGGGAGCGGGGCTGTCAGCTCACCTCCCCTCCACACCGGCTGTCTTGCTCTGGTCCCTGGTCCTCTAGCATCAGGTTGAATGGGATGGGCAGGGGTGCAGGCAGGAGATGGGGGTGAAGATACAAACCCAAATCTTTGATGAGCCCCCATTGGCTTTAATACCTCCAAAGGGGAAGGAGAAGAAATACTGTGCTAGCGATAGGCTTAGCTTTGCAGTCAGGGGCTGGAGGGGGCACACAGCCACCCTCTGTGCCACCACTGTGCCCGCGGGGACGGCTGGTTTTTGGTGTTAACTCATCTGTCTCCTCCCACAGCCCCGTGGGGATGGGTGCTCAGTGAGCACCCCATGACGTGCCCCCAGGGACTGGGCTGCAACATCGCTGGGGTGGCCTGAGAAGGGGTGGCTCTCGTTTGGGTTGGAGACCTGTCCCGTCCCTGTAGGATGCTGAGATAATGGATCCTGGTAGGGATGAGGTTTGGTGGAAGGGACTTGGGCTGCCGTGGTAGATGGGGCCCCTGCCGTGTCCATGGGACCGTGGCCACCCTGGGATGGGACCCTGCTTGAGCCTGTGCCACCCTCCAGGGCACTGAGCAGGCAGAGCCCGCTGCGAGTTTGAGCCCCCCTTGGGGCTGGGACTGGTTAAGGACACATCCCCTTTGGTGGGGACATTTTCCCATGGAGTTTCTTTGTGTGCCAACAAAAAATGTGTGGGTGCCCTTTGCTATTCCCATGGCCGTGCCATAGGACAGATCCCCGATGCTGGGAGGGGACCATCCCAGTGGGCCAGGGACGTGCTGGTGGAGCAGCCCTGGCTACGGGCAGGTACAGCCGGGCCTGCCATGTGTTCGCTGCCGGACTAGCTCAGCGTTTCCCCCACCGGCTTTCCACGCTCATCCGACCCGGAGCGGAGCACCGCCTGGCCACCCTCATATTTAAACACCAAGTAAATACATCATGCAGCAAATAAGCCCCGAGCAGCTGGAACAAAGGGAGCGGCTCAACCACAGCATTAGCCCCCACCACCGAAATAATTAAGCACCCCTCCATCCCCAGGCCTTGTGCAATAGTGGGGGGCAGGCAGGAAGGGACTGGAGGGGGGCCCCCCCCAGCCCCAAATGAAGGTTGCCCCCCCAGCCCCCAGGGAGCCTACTTGCTCCACAGCGGACGTGCAGGGCTCTTTCTCACCAGCCGAGGGGAGAGGAGAGTATTTCAGGCCCTCCGCTCCCCGTGCCTGTGCCCCGCGTCGTTCCGTTAATTACAGGTTTTCAGCCGCAGACCGTTGGGCACGGATCGGTGGGGGGATCGGTTCCCAAACCCTGTCATTTAGCCTCGTCAGAGTGCCTCTTCAAAGAGGGGAATCTAGAAATTTTCTCCGCAAGGTGCGGAGTGGACTGTCTCGGCCCCAGCATGAATATAATGACAGATGCATTTTACAGCGAGCGGGGACTGAATGCGCTCGACCACAGCTCCTTCTGTCAGCCAAGTCATTATTTTTTGTCATTTGCTGACAGTTTTGGTCTCATTTGTTTCTCTCTCTTTTTCTGTTTTTCCCCCTGCCTGGAAAAATGGCTAGGTATCTATGAGACCCCAGCGGGAACGATCCTATACCATGCGCATTTAGATATCGAGGCCTTCACCATGGACCGGGAAGTACGGAAAATCAAGCAGGGGCTTGCCTTGAAATTCTCTGAGCTGGTGTACAACGGTACGTACGGTCCTTCAGCCCAGTCCTGCCACCACAGTGTCCTCCCAGTCTTCCTCCTCCCTTGGTGCTACTGGAGGCTGCAGGTCCCACTGGTACACGCGCTTAGGGCTGTAAAACTCAGGTGTGGATTTTGAGGCTATTCACGGGGGACAAGATGGGTTTGCTCATGCCAAGGGCTGAGCACGCTGCCTACTTTCATGCCTTCGGGAGGCGATGCCGCCTTCTGCAAGGGCTTGCTGGTGGGAGATGCTCCTGGCATCTCTCCCAGCCCAGTGCCACCGCTTCACTCCATCCAACAAGTTTGGAAGTCTCACAGGCTGTAATTCACTGTCTCTTTGTGGTCCCCCCCACGTCACCTTTCTCCCCTCTGACCCCCTCCGTCTCTCCGTCTGTCCTTGCCCCCCACAGGGACCAGGGTATGGGGCACATGAGCACCCAATCTCCAGGCATGACCGTCCCCATGGTGGGGTTTGAAGCCAGAGACCTCTCCCCATGCCCTGGCAGGTGGAAGTGCAGGGGTACGTGGCACAGGGGGGGCTCTCGAGGTGCTGTGGCCCTGGCCACCAGGGTCCGGGGGGGCTGTGGGAGTGGACGGGAGGGTCGTGGCCGTGCTATGCGGTGTGCAGCCCACACAGGGGCACTGCGGGTTGTGGCTTTGCCGGGGGCTGCCGGAGGGGCTTCCAGCACAGCACTGCCTGGAGCCAGAAGGGACAAGGGGATGCCGGCTTGCACCCACAGTTAGGGACAGAAATGAAGCCCCTTGCCCTTCCTCCTGTGGTGCACCCAGCAGCTCCAGCTCGGGTTTGCTCAGCCGCCCATGTGGGCTGAGTTTGAGGGGTCTCAGCCCAGTCCCCCGGTGCTGCTGGGGCAGGTGAAAAAAAAATGAGGCTGCTGCTTCGGGGGAGGGGGTGGCAATGACACCCCTGGGAGGGGACATCAGCACTGACCTGGAGTCTGCTCCTTGGATCAACCCCGATGGAGTTGCTGGTGCTAAGCTGAAGGAAGCAGGATTAGCCCAGAATGATTCCTCTGTTCCCTGCCTGGTTCAGAACTGACGTCCCTGGAGACCCCACACCGGGGAGATTTCCTGCCCCTCGGCCGAACCACACTTTTCTCTTTCACATGTCCTGATTTCTCAGCCTCCCAGTTCCTCCTCCCATTACTTTCAGGTGTTTCTCTCTAACTGCAAGCACTGGGATGATTCCCATAAATAAATAACCTGACTCCAGGAGCTTGGGCTTTGAGCAGCAGCTGATCCAGCAGGACTGGGGCAGGCTGTCTTCTCCCCTGCAGTTTCTGATGCCTGTGCTTGTCCTTGGCACCTTCCCCTCCAAGGATGTTCCATCCTGCATCTTCCTCAGCATTCAATGCCTGAGCCCCTTTGCTGCTGAAACCATATTTTAGGGCCCTGGCAGGGTGAGGGCTTCTGGGACTGCAGAAGTCTCAGTTACTTTCCCCTTGAATCACAGCCTCTGCCTTAATTCACTCTCCGGGGCCGCTTCTGCCTCTGGCTATTTTTATTTGGCTTTGCCCTGGGCTGCCTTTATTTTGACTTTTTTTTTTTTTTTTTTTTTCTCTCTAGTTTAAGCATAAACCTGTTTGTTTATTTCTAACCACTCACTTGTTGTGCAGCCACCAGATTAAAGAGCCACTCAGGGAATCGTTATTTTGCATCTCCCTCTCCACATCTGCCAGGCGAAGGCTGCTGTTTCCCTGGCTCCAGATGCTGAATCCCCAGGGATTTTCAGCTTGGTCCTAGACTTTCCTGGCAGCCGAGCCTGAATTCAAGGAACAGCCCCAACCGGCTGCAAACAGCACCCATGGGTCCCCATGCCGGAGGCCAAGCTTTCAAGCTCGCCTTCCTTTAACACCTCACTGCAACTAGTCCTTGATTTTAGGAGAATTAGTGTTTATCTTCCCCCTGTCCCCATTGATCCCATTGTGAAGGGGTGGCTTTGAAGCCAGTTCCCGTCCCGGCAGGTACGGCCAGGTGCGGAAATGCCATTGTCCCCCTGCCCACACCGTGATTAGGGCAGGATGACGGTTACAAGGCTGGAAGGTCATTAAGGGGGATCACTTCCAGTGGGGAATGTGTCTGCGGTGGGGGGCGAGGCGGGGGGATGCTTCCTCGCACCTGTTGCTGTCAGAGATTTAAGTAGCTGGTTATTATTTTAATGTCGCTCAGGCTTGTTTTTATGGGGATGCAACAGCCCTGCACCAGTGCTGACGTTTGGAGAGTTGTACCTGGACGGTGGCTGCCAAAAAGAGAGGCTCTATTTGCCTGGAGGTGGGGTCCCTGCCTGCATGGCAGTGCTGCTTGCGGGGAAGGGGTCCCCGAACCCCCCAGCCGTGCCGTTGGGGGGCAGTGGAGGGGGGGGATTCAGGGTCAGGAAGGTGGTTTTGCTGGTGAGAGCTTGCAGGGCTTTGATGCCATGGGGCCACACAGATCCTGGGGACAAGGCTGCAGGATACGGCCCCGCTCAGGGGGCTGGCGAGGCCAAACAACAAAAGAAATTGTTTGTTTCTTTAATGGCTTGAGCCCAGGAGCCCAGCTGGGAAGGGAAAGGTGAGAGGGCACCGGTGTGCGGGAGGGCGATGGGAGAGATAAAACCTGGGGATGACCGGAGGGCGGTGAATGGGCTCTTTCTCTCTCTGCCTCTATCTCCTTCTCCATCTCCCAGGCTTTATTCCAGGTCTCCAAGGGCTTCCCAGCTAATTACCCTGCTCAGGGACAGGAGGGGGCATGGGGGCAGCAGGCAGGGCCACGGCCCCTCCACGCACCCACGGTGGCCTCGGTGGATGGCAATGTCGGTGGCTGCTCCTGCAGGATGCATTTTGGGGGGCCGTGGTGTGACTGCACATCACTCCGATGCCCAGCCGGGGCTTCAGCCTGGCTGCCGGCGGCTTGGGGTACTGGGGGGGGGCCCCATGCCCCAATTCTGTGTCCATCTGTCTGTCTCCACTTGACCCTCTGGAGGTGGTGTTTTCTGAGCAGCATTTTCATACTAACTTAACAAAGCTTTTAATTTCAACGATCACCCCGACCTGGCGGAGCTGGAAGGAGAATGGCCTTGCTGCCTCTTCTCCACCAGCCAGGTCCAGCCTCCTCTCCTGGGTGGGAACCCAAGGAAAGAAAGAGACACATGTGAGGTCTCCATCCCTCAGAGCTGAACCTGGGTGTCCCAGCTCTTCATTTCTCTCTCCCCCTCCTGCAACCGCATCCCTTCCCTCGAAAATCACCCAGGATCTGCCTTGCAGGACTTAGCGTGGGGGACCATGGTACGTGGGCACCCTGGGGCGCCCCAGGGCTCCCCAGCCCCCCCTGCTGACCCTGCCTCCTGCCCACAGGCTTCTGGCACAGCCCCGAGTGTGAGTTCCTCCGGGAGTGCATCGGGCGCTCGCAGGAGGCGGTGGTGGGCACCGTGCGCCTCTCCGTCCTCAAGGGCCAGGTCTACATCCTGGGCAGGGAGTCCCCGCGGTCGCTGTACAACGAGGAGCTGGTGAGGTGAGTGGGGGTGTGGGCAGGGGTGGCAGCAGCGAGCATCCCATCCTATCCTGCTGCATCCCACCCCATCCCACTCTGTCCCATCCCTCCCAATCCCATCCCATCCCATCCCCAGGGACACCAGTGATGCCACCTTCCCAGCCAAGCACCCAGCCAAAGCACTAGCCCTGTTTTCAAGTCAATATTATTTTTTTCCTCTGGCTTCTCCTTTTTCTTCACGTTGTTTTCCCTCTCGCTCACTCGCTCTCCCCCCCCAGCCCTCCCTCAACTCCTTTCAATCTCTCTAAACACTTTATAAGCCATAAATACACCCGAATGAGTTTAGATCAGTCGGAGTAAATGTCAAATTATCTTCTCTCTTTCTCTTCTCTGGCTTTTTTTCCCCCCTTCCCTCCCCCTCAAAATCAACAGCTCCTAATAATCCGTCCCAACCCTTCATTATGCTTCGCGCTCTCACTTGGAGAGATTAAATGAATAAAGTATAAAAAAAAAAATAAAAAAAGAAGGAAGAAAAAAAAGGAGGATGGAGGGGGGTGGGACGGAGGAAAAAGAGAGAGGGAGAGAAAAGCAGGGGCACTTATTCTCCCTGCGTCTCCAACCATTTTCCTTTTCTTTTTGATTTCTACATCGCTGGTTTGAAAGCCTTTGAGTGACGGCGTCACAGGAACACGAGAGAAAGCTGTGAGAGGCAGAGCTGTGTGGAAATGCCTCTGCACAGTAGGTAGAAAGTAACGTAATTATAGAGCAGGTCAGAACCACTCGAATGAGCAAAAATAAAAGCACAGAGGTTTTTCTGTAGCCCGTCAGGGGAGGTAAAATCATTGTAAACTCTTTCTTTTTTTTTTTTTTTATTTCTTTATTTCCTCCCCCTCTCCTCTTCCTTCTTGCAGCTTCTGGGAAATGAGCTGCCTGTTTTGGGGATGTAGGAAACCATCAGAGTCGGGTTTCGGTGGGTGGCTGCTGCTTTTGGGGAGGGGGATGTTGCAATGAGGTGCTGGCCACTGCGGCCATAAACCCCATTGGTTCTGGGGGTGCCCTGCAATGTCCCCTGCCTGGGGCAATGTCCCTGCCTGGCGTGGGACAGCCATACCCATGGGACAGCTCCTGGACGGGGTGAGAATCCCTGTTGGATGCAAGAGCACAGGGAGGAAGGGTGATGATGAACCACGAATGGAAATTTGGGGATGTGTCTCTAGCAGGGCCTGGGGAGCCCAGGGACAGCCATCGGTGCTGCTCCCGAGGCCACATGCCCCTTCCCCAGGAGCTGGTGGGGACCCTGCCCCAAGCCCCCCGCACCCATCAGCAACTGATGAGAGGGCAGCAGCGGGCACCGGCCCGGGGGGAGCAGCCAGCTCCGGGGTCACCCGTGTCCTCTCCTTTCCCAAAAGGCAGCCCCAAGTCCCCCCTCCCGGCCCCAGGGACCTCCAGTCGAGGTGACGGTGCCTTTCTCTCCGCAGCATGAACGTGCAAGGGGACTACGAGCCCGCCGACGCCACCGGCTTCATCAACATCAACTCACTGAGGTCTGCGGGGTCGAGGCGGGACCCTCCCCAAGGGTGGGGGCAAAACCCCCAGCACCCCCGGGGCTTTTCCCCTTCCCAGCTTGGGCTCTGGGGGTGCACCAAGCCCCCACTGCCTGCTGGGGCACAATCAGCCCCCACCCCAGCACCAGCCCTGCCTAATTACAGCCTTCCCCAGCACAGCCGGTCTCGATATTTTACTTATTTCGCAGACCCCGCCATGCTCCCCCCCACAACCCCAGGCTGTAAAACACGCTGCATTTACATAATGGGCTCTTAATTTTTCCGTCGCCTGTTAACTGCTTTGTTCTCCCCAGTCCGCCATGTCCCCCCACCCCTCTAAGATAAATTAATTACATTATCTCGTGGAAAAAAAAAAAAATAATTAAACTGTACAGGCCTTAACAAACGCCTGCTCTTCACGCCCCCTCATTCTGCTTAAATTAATTGAAAGGAAATGTGTGTTATTACTGTTAATTTACAATTAATTTTTTTTTTTTTTTTTTGCTTAAAATATTCCAGGCTGAAGGAATATCATCGTCTCCAGAGCAAGGTCACCGTAAAGCAGGATGAATAGCAATCAATCGCACGCGAGCCTCCCGCTCCCCTTTCTAATTTCTCTAAGAACTAGCACTAATTGTGGTGGTAATTTGTAATTGTAACTCGTCTCCCCGGAGTCACGGTGGAGGTGATGGCTTTGTTACGGGGCGGCAAGTGAAATGCAATCATTAAAAAAAGGTGGTCGGCCAGAGGAGAAGTGGGGAAAGAAATAAAACCCCAGCCACGCGCTGGGTCCGCTCATTGAGAGCCGGGCTTTATTCCTGCCTTGTTTGTTTGCTCTTCTGGCCCAGCGCTTCCCCGAGCCGGGCTTTGTGAAATTTGTAATGGATTAAGTGCCTCTGAAGGACGTGGGGGGGGTTGTCAGTACCTTGTTGTGAAGGTGGGGAGCGGGGGACATCGCCCCTCGCGGTGCCGGTCCGGAGGGGCGAGCTGGGTGGCAGGGATGGGTTAAGAGGATTTGATCCTTTCTCTTTTGTCTTCATTTTAGTGCATTTTAAGAGCAGACTTGGGGCTTGGTGAAAAGGAAAGAACAGGGGAAATATCATCCGATGGTGTTGCCGGAGGAGAGGAGCGCCGGCTCTGGGCTGGGCAGGGGGTTTCTCTCCCATCGTGCGTGGGCAGGTTGCGGGTCCTTCCGTCCCCAGGGCTCAGGCTGCAGCGCTTGGCTGGGATGCGGGGACAGCTCGGAGAGGAAGACCTGCTCCAAAACTATGGTGGAAGCAGGAGGAAAGAAAGAAAACCCTTTCTAATCCGTGCAAACACCCGGGATGCTCTGGTGCTCCACACCGCCAAGGATAGGGAAGGACCCGGTTTGGGACATCCCCATGGTGGGTGTCTCCCTAGGCCAGGAGCAGAGATGCTCTCCAGGGCTGGGAGCGATGCACTCGCCATGCTGCATCCTGCTGTGCCCCGCCTCATCCCGTCAGCAGGGACGTGCCGCTTTCCCAACCATTTGGGGGAGGATAGGGAAGGACCCGGTTTGGGACGTCCCCATGGTGGGTGTCTCCCTAGGCCAGGAGCAGAGATGCTCTCCAGGGCTGGGAGCGATGCACTCGCCATGCTGCATCCTGCTGTGCCCCGCCTCATCCCGTCAGCAGGGACGTGCCGCTTTCCCAACCATTTGGGGAGCAAAATCAGAGCTGCCACCACAAAGGGGAACATTTTTGCAGCCCCCAGGGGGACAGCCAGGCCCTGTGGCCATTTGGGGACGTCCAGGCGTGCCCTGCCCGCCCCGCTGCCAAGCCGGCGAGCGTGACAAGCTCTGACATCACAGCTGGGAAAATAACATGTTATTTTCCCAGCTTGGATGTGACTTTCCCTGCTATTACTGGCAGCGACCATCTTGGGAGGAGAAAGCAGCCGAGGGGCTGTCAGGCAAGGGGAGAGAAATGGTTTTCTGGGCTGGGGCAGCCTGTCCAACCCCCATGGGGTGTGAGGAGGGGGATGCTGCACGGTGCTGCCCTGTTGCCTACGTCCCATTGCTTTCAGCAGCGACTCTGTGCTGAAAGTGCCGCTTCAGGTGGGGGCCCTGCATGAGCATCGTCCCGGAGCCCCGCAACGGCGGTGGTGGTCAGTGGGGGTGTGCTGCTGAGCCCCCCCCCGGCATGGGTGCCCGGTGCTGAGCCAGCACTGTTCCTCTCATAGCAGCGCCCCTTCCCAGATAGGGGAAAGGGCTTGGAACCTCATCAGGAGCCATCTCCTGGGGGGATCATCGAAAAAACAAGACGGGAACAGAGCTGCTGCCCTCCCGCATGCCGGGGAAGGATGCTGTGCTGGCCAACGGGCAGCCCTGTGAGCTCAGAGCATTGCCTCCCCTGCCTGGGAGCAACATGGCTTGGCCATGGCAGAGGTCTCCACTGGCAAAGTGGAGTTTGAAAGAACTTGGTTCAATGAGGAGCTGATGACTTTTGGCGGGGGGGTGGGGGGTGGGGGGAACTAACAAAAAGGTGTCACAGCAGAAGCTTGTTGTGCCTCAATGCTTGAGAAATGCCGGCCGTACTCCAGGAGGGCTCATTGCACCACTGGGCCACCTCTCTCTGGAGTGTTTAAATCATCAGCCGGAAAAAGCCATTTAACTCCGAGGTCTCAAAAGTCCCCCAGCACTTGTGCTGCAGCACTTCAGAGCCCAGACCCGAGGGTGCCCGGGTTGCCCATGGCTCACCGCACCCACTGCGATGTGCAACGAGGTTTTCGGCTGAGGGCAGGGGATGCTGTGTGCCATGGCAGCTCCAGCTCCTCAGAGGCGGTGGTGGACATGGCTGTGGTCAGCCTTGGAGGAGCAGCTTGTGTCAGCTTCCAGCTGCTGCTTCAAACCGGGCTGAAAGCACATGGTGCTGGTAAAGCAGAGCTTGGTGTATTCAAAAAGCCAAGTCAAACCCAGTGTGAGTCTTGCAGGAGAAAAAAAACAAACTCTTGAAGATCACGGGGTCATAGGGTAGAGGAAACCCAGCAAATGCCTGCCCCTTGGTGCAGCTACTGGGGGCTGCAGTGATAGGATGCTGTGAGTCAAACACCACATATTTAATTACTTTACTACTTTAATTACCATCAGCCCTTCCAGTTCCCATGATTTGCTGGTTCCTCATCGCCTCCCTTGCACTTTCCCAGCATCCTTCTTGTTCTCAGGGAGGTATTTAAGAGGCTGGAGCTGCCAGCCTCATATCACAGCAGGAGGGAAAAACAGTGGGCGAGCAGCATGGTGCCAGCAGTTCCTGAACCACCTGGTAACTCCCCGGCAGAGGCATTTTGTGGATAACATTTTGTGCTTTCAAGGTGGCAGGCTTGTTTCTGCAACACCCACCCAGCTGTCAGGGCAGCGAGCATGGGCTGGGGGCTCCCTGTCTCCAGGGCAGAGCTGCAGCTGGCACGAGCCCAGAGGGACCCCGGGAAGGGACCTGGGTCACTGCTGGGCTTCGAAGCTCTTCTGTGCGTCCCCCTGCAGCATCGCCCATCACTCAAGCTCCAGCCTGCTCCAAGGTAACTTCTTGCCACCCTGGGGCTGGGGGTCCCTGGGGATGCCCTTGGGAAGCTGCACCCCCTCTTCGGCACCACAGGCCATGCCGTGGGGCTGCTCTGCCACCCTCCCAGGCTCTGGGGAAGGGCTTGTCCGGGGTCACAGCAATCGATATCTCATCTGCAGGCTCTCCTAGCGGAAGTGATGGTATATTGGAACATGGTAATGGGTCTTGTCTAGTGGAAAAGGCTAATCTTCCCCAGCTGTACAGGATCTCCGCAGGTGTCCTCCAGCTCTCCCCGCTGCCACCAGCCCTGCAGCCAGCCAAGGAGCAGACATGCTTCTTTAAAGCTGCAGCTGTCCAATTTATTGCTGGTCCCAGCAAGGGAGAGCTGCCTCCAGCCTGGCCCCGGGGGGCACGGAGTCACGGCCAGGGCTTCCCAGCGAAGCACCAGCACCCAGGGTGGCACCACGCAGCACGGGCAGCCGCAGCAGCTCACATTTGCTGGCTTACAGCAGAGAAGGTGACATGTTCTCCAGCCTTGCTCACCCGGGGATGGCATTTGCCCGGGGAGAGGAGGAGGACAACATGAGGATGACGCCAGGAGAGACGTGGACCCCCCCAGAGTGCCACCTGCAAGTGTAGGTGGGAGGCAAGCATATGCCACAGAGAAAAGCAGGGGTGAAAGCTCCTCGCTGTTAATTTGGGTTTTTGGCAATGCGCTCACTGCCTGGCGGGGCTCACCGCATGGGGCTTGGCCCATTTTGCCCATCCCTAGGGACTGCTATCCGAGGCAGGTCTCCCCTTCCCCTGCCTGGCTGGCCGTCACACCCAGGTGGGCTTGGTACATGCCCAGGGGGTCCTGGTTTTTATAAGCTGACCAGCCAACGCTGGCTACTGCAGCCTGCTGCATCACTATGGCAAAATCAATTTTCCCGTTTCTCTGGAAGTAGAGGTAATTACTGGGTTTAAGGTTTAATATGCACGTGGATTTTAGCACAAGCGTTGCCAAGAACAACTTGGAACAATGCACAGGTTTGGGCAAAGCATCCTGGGGGCTCAGACATGGCCATGGTGTGCGGAGCCCCCAGATGTGGTCTGTAAAATGGGGGGCTCAGGGGTTTGGGGTGCCCAGAAGAAGCTGAGCCGCCATCAGATCCCACAAAGGGCATGCCAAAGATCACACTGACCTTGTTTGGGGCAGAGATTTTTTTTTTTTTCCCCTGTAAAAGACAGTAAGGATAGATGGATGTAAAGAGAAAATTCTCAGGGGGACAGAGCAGTGGTGGGGCTGCTGGCTTTTTGCTTAAACTTTATTTTATTGAGTGGAAAAAGGGATCACTGGGTCCGTGCAATCAAAAGGGATGATGTTTTGCAGGGGAGAAGCAAGGAGCTTTTGTGTGGCTGTGTCCCCATCACGGCCCCTCCTGGGCCTTCATCTCCCCACCTGTGGGAGGGAACCCCAGCCCACCCCTTCCAAGGGAGGGACAGAAAATCCCTACCAATATCATGTAATTTTGTGCAAGTAGGGGTCCCTGGGCTGAGGTGCTGAGGATGGCATCCCCTCGGCAGGGACACTGGTAGCGATGGTGCAGTCATGGAAAGCCACGGGATCCCCACGATGAGCGTTTGGTTCCCATTTTCCTTCAGAGATGTGGCTCCGAGAGGTTCATGGGAGCGGGGAAGGCGCCCTGGGCCCCGCACACGGGTCACAGGGCTGCAGCACAGCACGGCTATTTAAGTGTTTATATCTTTCCGAGGGAAAGCCATCCCCCCGGTGAGGTTGGGAGTCGCCGGTCGCGAGCTTCCCAGGCAAGGGGGAGATGGTCGCCTTTGTAAACCCCTTAACAAGGTGGCTTTGTCTCCCCCTTTAACAAGAAGCTCCCTTGCTTCTTCCCCTGGAGTTTCCCAACGCCGGATCCCTGAAAGCCAGCTTTATGCTCCGGCCGGGGACGCGCTGCTGTGGGGCCGGCGGGGATCAGAGGGACACAGGGGCCCTTCTGCACGCCCCTGACAAAAGGCTGCCCCGGGGGGACAGAGCGTCAAAGCTCAGCCGGCTCAAGGCGGGGGGGGGACAAGGGACCCACAGAGGAGGCTGCGGCGTGAGCCCACCGTCCATCTGGTCACTCGATCGTGGGGGGCAGTGACCCGGCAATACTCGGGGAGAGCCAGGGGAGTTCTTCTGGTTGGTGC